TCCGTTACTTACTATTTATTTTTTAGTTTCGATAATTATTAATTTAATTTGTGCACATGGAAGAAAAGAGAAGCGAGTTCGTCAGATTTTTTTTATGTAAATAGTAAAACTAAGTACTAGAAAATTTTAAAAGTATCAAAGTATCAAAAATTTTATAAAGATACGACTATTGAATAAATGATGCAAATTTCCAAGAAAAACTTTTATATAGGCAATATGAATCTTTAAAATCAAAATAAACTAATTATTGAAAATAAATACTTTTTAAAAATCGTTTGAATTTTTTTAATAATAAAATGACAAAAGATATCAATCTTTCTTTTATTTTTACACTGAAAAGGACATGAAAAATCGATTCGTAACGAAATAACTGTCGGATCTCGCTGCGCGTTAAAAACCAACGTTAAAAATCAAAATATATACATGTCCTTTTATAGCCGGAAAATACGTCAGAGATCGTCAGCATTTGCATGTTTCGCGATTTCCATGTGACTCGTTTGAATTGCAAGTCAAATAAAAATCAACCCGACCATGGATTAGCATAACAACGTTTTTATTTTCCCCGTCGTTGCAATTCGGGAAATTAATATTCCCTGAACGCGGGTACATTGGAAAGGAGACGAAAAGACACAACTTCCTTGAAAAATACGTTTATCGTCGTTTTTCATGTACCGATCTTCATCTCGAAAATTCGTCGAACGAATAATTTTCTCATTGTTTCCTTAAAAAAAAGAAACATCGAAAATTTTGAGAAGAGAGAAAAGTTTGAAAATGCTTTGAAATTTTTGTTCGCGACGACAAGATAAAAATTCTCAAGTTTAAAATCCTGTTTTAAAAAGTTCTTTGCTGGTCAATATTATTCCGATGGAATATAATTTATGTTAGCAAAATTACGAATCTATCTAAAGAGAAATTTTAAATCATTCAACGTTCTATAAATCTTATAAATTCTAATTCTAAGTATATAAGGTGTTAATATATTTAGAAATCACCTTTAGAGGATCGATTCTAGGGGCCAAAACAAACACAAATTTTGGCGTGCAAAAATATCGGTCGAGACTTATTTATTAAGTTGCGAACAATTTGAATTTACATTGAGATGAAGCGAATGCGATGATGGTATAATAATATAACGAGAAAAAACGATCTGAGTCTATTTTCGTTTCATTTCAACGCAAATTTCAATTGTCGTGTATCAACAATTTTGCGTTTGCTTTGGCCTTTAAAAATTGTTTCGAATATTTCTTTCGATCCCGATAAACGAAAGATATGAAACGAGGATATTATAAATATTAGAAATAAAAAAAAATATATACGTATTGCTTCATGCTAATTCATCATTAATGATTCAACATCTATGCGTACTATTATAATTTAATTCAACCTAATTCAATTTCACTTAACCGTAAACACTTCAACACTTTCAACGCCATCTTTTCCCTCCTGCAAATTTTTATCCCATTTCTATCCATAAATTTCCAACGACTCAGGGTATATTGTCGAATAACATTCAATATTCAAGCAACAATCTTGAATACTTGAATTGGTTCATCGTTCGAGTTACTTATGAAAAGTTTGTCACCACGAACGTGAGATTCAGAGATCGATATCAACGTGTGGAAACGATGCTGCTGGCATCGAAACCCTTGGCTCGAGCGTTTCGATCCAACCCTAACGCGACATTCGACGCAAACCAAGGTTCGCCCCGTCACGTAGCAAGTAATATGCAAATGACATATCGTCACGGTGAAATTTATTCATGGACGAGGCTGCCCGCAGCTGCGGCTTCGAAGTTCCCCCGTAGACTCCTCTGTATCCCCTCCTCCCTCTCCCCTCTCCAAAATTGTCGTAATGAACTTACACGCTCGTGCGAAACTTGCGCCTTACCACCACCCCTCCCCTCCCCCCGATCGTGGTCCAATTTTAATGATGGAACAAATCAGTGGTTCTCGTAATTTTCGAGCGAACCGTATAAAATGTAGTTCTCTCGAATTTTTGAAGTTGGAGAGATCTTCTTCGATTCTCGAGAAGAGAGAGTATTTGAAAATTTTTTTTTTTATAAGGGAATTTTGATATTATGGATTTATATATTTGGATTTATTTAGAGAAATATCTAAGTAATTCTCTTTTTTCACAGAATGGTCCTTTAGATTGATTAAATCTTTGATAATTTTCTTGAAAATGTATGGTATGTTATGGTAAATGTATATAGTAGAAATTGATAGGATGAATTTTTAAAATTTTTTGTCGAAATAAAAAAATTATTATTGTTTTTAGCAATTTATGTTAATAATTATGGTAATAATATGTTATGTTAATAATTAATAATTTATGAATAATTATTCACAAAAATGATAAATATTTTATATCAATTAGAATATGATTTCTATTTCCAACTTCGAATAACTCAAATTGTAAGAAATGTCAAAATATTTCGATTGAATGAAAATTTTCATCCAAAAATTTATAATTCGCTGCGAATAAATTGGAAATTTAACTTGGAAATTTTAATTTTTAATTATCGACGTGAATATTATTTAATCGTTCATGGAATTATCAATTATCTAAATCAATCTCTATTTTTTTTCAACAATTCTTTCGCAAATTTCCAGCAAAAATGACAACTCGAAGATGATAACAATTATAACGCGAATCGAATTATTATGCCGAGAAAAAACGAGTCAAACTCGCGGTTCGACACGGTCAAAATGCGAACAACACGCTTTTGGCAACGGGCATGACACGCTCGGCTGTTGGCTCGTCACTTGAAATACGATATTTTTTTGGCCAGCAAGCTCGTTTGTTTTACGAGTGAATCGCGCGTCAAAGGATGAGAGATTGCGCCATGTTACTACATTCTATCGCAATTACGAATCGCTATAAAGGATTTGTAACTATGTATTTTCGTTCCTTGTGGACGAATCTTTCTCTTTCGATGACTTTCTGTTCGTCCGTGAATTTGTTCGTGCATTTATTTTATTATTTACTTATTAAATGAGTTTCTATTTGATGTGTTGGTTTTTGACACATGACACATGAAAGTATAGTAATTATAATTATTTTAAAAATATTATTTTATGTATGTTATGCATACTATTTTATTCGGTATTATTAATTTGTTAAAATTTGATTCGATTGATGTATTATTAAATTTTTGTTTAATAATTCAATATATGTAAAAGTTAGGTGAATGACTTTGTACCATAGCCAATTTGTTCAAATTATATAATTTAAATACATCTACATAACGTAAATGTTTGCACAATGTTCTAAAATTATTTATTTCGTGAAACTTAAGAGTAATAATATTTTACCACTATTTCAAATCAATCATAAGAAAGAAAATAAAAAATCTCATTGACAAAAATATTTTAATTCTATTTAAATTTAAATATACACAGATTATATATAAGTGTTACATGTTATTGTATAAATAAAAGCCAAGTTTGCAAAATTATAAGATCTAAAAATTATAAAAAGAAGACTATAGAAAGAAGATCAGAACATTAAACTTCATTATTTTCTTTAATTTTTGGACTGTTGAATTAAAATTCATCGTATATTTAAATAATTTTGTAATAAACAAATCAAAACGAAGAAATTAAAAAATGAAATTTGAAATGTAAAAAAATTTTTCTAAATTTGAATGAATATTTTATATAAATGATGTTACAAATAATCAATTCTAATAAATTCTGTTCCTACTAGATTAATAATAATTTTATCACTAATTTTGAATTTTTACATTTCTGCTTTCAAAACATAATTTTAAAGATACTGTATCTATGATTATTTAAATTACATATAGATTCTGAAAACAATCTGACATCCTACAAAAATATAATTCTACCATGTCTCTACAATCTATACAATGTTTCGTTCTAAAGCACTATTGCATATACAAGTTACATTTATATCATCATCACACTAATATTTGTCAATAAATTATTATACAAGAGAAGAAATTACTCGTCATAGAATATAATTAATAGTGTATTAAACACATGTTACGTTTCCATGAAAAAAAAAAAAAAAAGAAAATCACGTAATGATCCAATACAAACGACCCATGATTCCAATCAGAACATTAAGTTGTCCACCTCTGGAAAAGCGTGTTGATTACCGTGCACCACGTCCCTAGGAAACAATGCGGACATTTTATAGTCAGTGTACAACTAGCACAGTCCCCTTATACTTGTTGGGAACAATGGGTATTATGTAGCGTGGCGCACGCACGGAAATGGCCTTCCCAAGACTTGTTCGAACTAGTTGTAACTCACTGTTCAACTGTACCCGTTGACGAGCAGCGCAACAATTACGCTAATGCATTGTCCTCGGTTCCTTCGCCTAACGACTCTAAACGATCGACGCCCTTTCGACCATTTCAATTAAAGGGGTTGGCCTTAAACGCGCCACGATTTCGAATCTTGTAATATCGCAGCCTCTAATCGTTTTATAGGACGACTTGATTCGTCCAAGGTTAATCGCTCGAATAATTATTCGAAGAGGTCTCGTTATTGTCCGACATCCGCCATTATTATTCGCGAGTTTCGAAATAACGAAGAAGGAATGATCATTTTCGAAATATATTTAATATATTATAACTTAATTGTATCATTTTTATGAATTTAATACCAAAAATGTATATATGAATTTAAAAATTTAAAGATTACTTCTTTTTGAAAAATATTACAAAAATATTGATATGTTAATTATAAGAGAATGCAATACCCTTCTATTTTTGTTCAATACTTAGAAAAATGTTAATTAATGACAAATATTTTGGGTATATCATAATAATAAATTCTCGAGTATGTATTTTATATTATCGTACAAATCAAGTATTTATATATACATATTATCGATTTATATTAAAAAAGAAGAAAAAGCCTAAGAGATACGTATATTTCCACTTGCAAGTGGAACAAGTACAGCAGTAGTCAGACAACATCGCCTCCAGACCTCTTCGCAATAAAAGAAAAATTGAGAACAACACTCACCCGTATCGTTGTCTCCTGGAACACCAAGACTATCACTATTGTCATTGATGAAGGCCTCCGCCGTCGACGTGAAGGTCTGAGGTGATAGTGTGAGGTCCGGCCCGCTCTCACTATCGAACAATTCTAAATTCCCGTTTCCTGGAATAAAGGACACGCGCTATAAATTTTCCGTTCTATAATTGATATATTCGATTGAATAATAGATTTAATGAATAAAAAAGTAAGATAAACAACGACAACGAGATAAATTTTAATTGGAATTATAAATTACGTTGAAAATTGTACATTTAAATTTGTTAAATATAATAAACAAAAGAGAATATATATTATAATAAGAATAATTTATCAAAAACTATATCTATAGTATATCTTTCAGAAAACTTTTTAATTTCGTTATATGAGAATTAATTATAAGATATTATTAGATAGATAAAATAATATTATAAATTATTGAACGTTTAATACACTTATAAGGGAACAATTAATTTGGAAAATAATTATTTTTTTATCATCAAAATTCTTCAAAATTTTGATGCCAGATATAAAATGTTATACAAAGATTCAACTTTTCATAGATAATAATAATTTACATTTAAATGTATGAAATTTAAATTATAAATATCTTTAACAGTTTAGTAATTTCTTTTCATTGAAAGAAGAATTCATTGTGAAACAGTTAAATTGTTAATCACTTTACGATCATTTATATATACGATGTGAACACGAGCATCTATTTCCGAAAATATTTTCTCGAATATCTTCATCCATTGTTCTTGTGACTGCAATACGTAGAAAATCGTTCATTATTAATCATGTACGATGTTCTGCTTGGCAAACATTACTGACAGATAGACAAGATTCTTTGCATGTTACGAAGGGCATAACTCAAAAATAATTGGCTTCGTTATAATATGATCTTTTATCTATGATTCATTGCATATAATTATCGCATTTTCATTTTCGATTTTCGAAAGAGAAGATTTTAAAAAACAGATTTCTAAGATCGATTATGAAAATAAAAGTTATTCGTCTTCATTCAATATTTTGTACAATATAATATTTATCGTTCAATATATAAATTATGATAATAATAATTAAATGATTTAAATAAGAAAATAGCAATTATTAATTAGTAATATAATCTTATAATCTTTTTAATGAAATATTTCTATATTCCTAATATTCAAAAAAAAAAAATGATTGAAATTTTTATAAAAATTTGCATATAAAAAATACGTTTCTCTATCACGTATAAATAATATTGTATTTAATGCATTCAATATTGTATTGAAAATCAAAGGGAGCCTCTAGTGGCGAGTATCGATTTTTTGATAAGTACAAAAACAACTGCAAAACAGTGAAAAATAGCATAAAATCCAAAACGACACTGTGTATACTGATAGCAACACTCGTAGTGAACGTGCACACAAAAGAAAAGCCGGATACCTCTTTTGTACTATTCACATTTTTTTGAAAGAGGATCTATGACGTGGTCATGCGTTGTCCACCATAGGATATAAAATCCCCACGCATTCGTTCACGTTAACTTCACTGAATGTGCTAAGCGTAACTATTTTTTTTCTTTTTTTTTTTACTATTAGCAATTTAGCTGCTTTTTCTCACAATAAAAATTTTCTAATTTTCTAATTCAATTTTTTGCATTTTTTTTTCTTCATAAAATTATTCTTTTCAAAATTCTATAGATATCTTTCAAAACGTTTATTCCAAATAAATTTCAAAATAAATACAAAAATTGATGTGCAATTATACGTAGTCTTATTTATTAAATTATAATCAATTTTTGCATAAATAAGATAAAATGGAAAGAAAATAGAATTGTTTCTCCATTCTAACTTAAATTCCTTATAATTTAATAAATAAACCTTAACTAATTTTTGTATTTGTTTCGATCTCTTAAATCGAGGCTGCAAAAATATATCAGCATTATAATTAACAATATTAACAATCTGTATATATCATTTTACAATCATATTTATAAAAAGTCAATACTCCCTAGAAACCCAATTTGATTTTATCAAAGTAAACATATAAACATGTATTGGACTATACAATATATAGTCATTACAGTTTTTCTGTTGTATCAACTGATGAAAAAGATTAGATGCAGAATTATTTGAAAATTATCTATTCAACTCATTTAAAATTGCTCGAACAACAAATAACGATAAATTCTAAAAATCTAATTATCATTGAATCATGGATTGAATCTTAACGTGGTTCAGCGAGTTGATCGATCATTTTCATTATCAGCATGGGACAAGAGAGGTTTGCGAAGTTAAGGAACCGGGCTGGGAGGGTTAAACGAGAACTTCTCGGAGTATGAGACGAGTGTCGCTTTCGCATATTCCTCGGCGCACTGACAACAACGGTGAAGCACTCTTAGGAGAACTAGCAGCCAGTCGAGGATCTCTCGAGACCTTAGGTGGCCTTCGCGATCCGAGGACAACTGCTGCCAAGTGGCAGCAAACTTTGACTGTGGATTTTAGGTTACGAAGCTCTACGCGACCTAAACTCTGTCTCCTCCGCTTGTCAGACCCTCGTTACGACCGTCTCGGTTCATTCGATTATATCGCGTCGACGACCGCCTCGAGTCGACCACGATCGGCTCCAAGGATCACGAGACGCCATGTTTTCGTTACAACTTAACGAGAAGAATCAGAGTTAATAAATTTGCGATTATGACTACGTGTATGTATATAAATATAGATTAATATATTTATATATATTAGATTGAAATTATAAGATAGGAATTTAATTAATTTGTAACAAATTGATTATTTATCAGAAATATTTGTTATTAGGTTGCTGCATTTTATGAATCTGTAAAAATATTATAAAATAAATGATTAATGTATTATTGAATAATATTCATATCAATTTAATAAAGTAAAAAGAATATGACTTGAATATGACTTGAATATTTTATTAATTGTTTTAAACTATATTTTAACAATAATTAAATTCGAATGTTTTCTTATATAGATTTAAAATTCGTGTAATATAACGTGTAAAAGATTGTTGGTAATATTATATAAAACTTTAAAAAAAAAAGTATTAAAAGAATGATTAATATTTTATTGCTATCAAAATTACACACATACAGATAAATTGACAAATAAAATTTTGAAAAAGAATTATTAGTAACGATCAATGAAATTAATCAAATCAATTAATTTTAATAATTTTAACCTTATTTTTCAATAAAGTTGTACATATTAAAATTTTTATTATAAATTTGATCATTTTATCTGTAACATCTTTGCATCCTTGATAAAATATTATAATTGTGTATATGTAATAAATAGATTTATTATATTTCTCTTATCTATGTAAATGTAAATCTGTGTTTAGAAACAACTTCTTTGTTTGTGATCTTTAATCACAGAGTCTAAATGAGTTAATGAATGTCAGAGTTTAACCATAGTCATAATAAATAAATAATTTTGTATATTTCTGCTTTCCAGCTTCCTTTTTAATATAAAATAAAATTGCATAATAGATTTGAATCTCGAAAATTTTTTGTTCTGTTATTTAAAAAATAAAACAAGTTTTCTATCAATTAAGAAATATTAAAATATACATATACATATATATAAAATATACATATATATATAAATTAGTTCAGTTCTTATGTAATTCATGATTTGTGCGTATAAAATATAAATATTAAACAAGCATCACTGAGAAATAGTATTACGTTCAATAGTTATACGTTCAAACATTAAATTATAATCAATATATTTGTTAAATGTTAAAATTATAATTGTAGAAAGAACAATAAACTATTTGACAAAACAGAAAAATTATATTGGTTGTCGTTACAAGTATAATTACTGCCAAATTGATCTGATTTATGTATTATAATTAAAATAATGTAAAGATGATCAATTTTGAAAGTAAACAACAATGAGGTTGAAGCAGGTGAAATTATATAATATTGATTTGTGAAGAGTAAGCTGGACTGCAATCAGTGATGGTTTAGTGGACTCAAAGGTTGATTTATAGGTTAACCTATAGTGACGCACTTCAGGTGCCCTAGAGCTATCATATGTTGGAAACTCCAATAATAATAATATAACAAATTTACACGATAAATATTTATGAAATAATCGTCTAGCAAGAAATCTCTCATAAACAATAACTAGGTCAATACATTACGTGATTACGAATAAACAATTTCTACTATTGTAATTACAATTTTTGTTTTTCATTAACAGTTTACTAATTCATCAAATTAATTACATGCAATTGTAATTCGATAGTATCGTTCCATTTTCTATAATTAATTACTTTAATTAATAAATATCATCAATTTTACCAAATTATATGATGAGCCATTGACAGCTTATGTACAAAATTTGACATATAATAAGAATTTCAAATTACTTTTAAGAAATTAACAATTGACACTGTCAAAGAAAAAACATGTTTCCATTAACTGCCTTCCTTTTATTAATATAATTTGTCAATATATAAAATCAATTAATTATAATTTACAATCACATAAGTATTGTTATTCATTCTTGGTTATAAAAATACCACAAGTAAGAAATTTCATGTAATAATGTACTGTAATAACCCAAAATCATTAAAAAAAATCCATTTGTTTGACGATACGTAAGAAAAAAAGAATAATTTAATACAAGCAACCACCAGTGGTCGAAATATTTTGAAATATTCAGAGACAGAAAATATACGATTTCAGTCACTTTGACCGACACAATTATACGTTTGATGTAGAGGTGTACACAAAGCATTACATACCATATTCGTCCGCTTCGACATCGCGTACACGATTCGAAGGCGAGCGTTCCCGTTAATTCAAAGCGACGGTATGCATCTCGCGGTGGATTAACATATTCCAGATTATCCGCCCGCGTTTGCGTTAATGCTTGTGCCGTTGGGTTAGTTAAATATGTAAATATAAGCGGACCCAGCCATGCTGGACGTTATCCGCGCTTACGAGAGATCGATGAATCACACGAGAGCACACTGTATATAAAACGTTCGCGTAGGGACGCGCATGCGATAAGGGTGAAGGGTTAATTCGGAAAAAAACGAGCAAAAGTATTAAATTAGGCAGAATAAATCATTGAGGAAAGCTTTTATTGGTAATT